TGAGAGAGAATTGTGTATTTTCTGCTTAGTTTTTTGCATTTTGTTGGATTTGGTATGTTTCTGTGGTGTTGTCTGTCAAATAATGTGGTACCGTAAACCAGCGTCACATCATGGCTCAGAACAACGTTTTTCTGACAGCGTGTAGCATAAGCCATGTCCTCAAATGTTCTCCTTGCAATACAGGAGAAATGTCCTATGAACATATTTCTCTCTGCCAGTCTGTCATATTTCCAGTCCTGTCTGCAGAGGTGACAGATTAAAAAGCCGTCTTCCCGCCGGATTTCCACCCTGCCGACCAAATCAAAACAAATATTGATATTTTAACCCGTAAAAGGTATACGGGTGCGATCACCTCGAGTGTCACTGTTGCTTTCATGCACGTTGGCTGTGTCTATGAAGGAGGGAGAAAAAGGAGGCGCTCGTCCGCTGGCTTTGGGATGGGATGCAGCTACTGTGCAATATTGATTCCAAAAAGCTTTTAGCGCAAGGCTAATTTTCCGTGTGGGGTCTCTGCATGTGGCCCCGGGCTCTGAATGGGTCAGGCGGTGTTTTGTTTACACTGAGCAGCTAATCTGTGTGAGCTGGCTGTGTATATCCGTGTGTGTGTGTGTGTGTGTGTGTGTGTGTGTGTGTGTGTGTTTGGCCATTGAAACGCTACATGAGCGCATGTACAAACTGACACACGGTCAATATTTGCATTTGTAGATGCTTGTAATTTAAAGTGGGCCACCCTCACGTTCTGGGCTTTGACAAATGCTTCAGCAGCACGGTACACGTCATAGAACTTCCCCGTGGAGTCCAGGGAGCCTCATCACACAGCCAACTCAGGCTGTCAATCAATGTGTGGTGAAAATAAAAATATTTTGTTTAGCACTTTGTGACTTTTCTGAAAAGGTGCTATGAAAATGAAAATACATTTTACTTTTACTTTACTTTTAGATATTGGAACATACGATTATATACACAAGTGTTATTGCCACAACTGGACTCAAAATAGTTTATATATCTTTTAAAACTGTTACTGGCACCAAAAGCTTTCTGTAAAACGTCAAAGCAACAAGAAGGGCGGAAACTTTTCACTTCCTACCTAAAGAGGAATCTTTTTTTTCACATATTTAAAATTTTTTCTTGGAAATAAGATATGTTATAGATTGTATATTGTTGCAGTAATATGAATCTTTCTTTATCATGTTGGCTACTCCACCATTAAAGCACAAATAAAGAGTGAAAGAGAAAGAGAGCGAGGGGGGTTGGGGATTAAACTCAATAAATGAGTCTCCATTCACCTCTCAGCAATATGACTTTCTCCCACTCCCTGAACTTGAGTTCTGGAACAATTGATATTGATCAACCCATATTTATCTGTTTTCGCAGACAATGGCAGATGATTAAAGCCGCAGTCGGCCCTTTTCTTTTCATGCATTTCGGCTTTACAAATGCATTACTGCATTCAAATGAAAAGGACGGAGGTAGATCGGGAATAAAAGATAGAATAAATGAAAATGTACAGGAACATAGGGATAAAGTGTGTTTGTGTGTGTGCGTGTGAGTAAGTGTGGCCCCCGGTGACTTCGGTTTTGTGAGTGGCCGTGACATTTGCTTTACCAGGTGTAGAGGAGCGTGAAGTAAACTCTGATGGGGTCTGTGAACAGTTATCACATTTACTCCAGGCCACAGGCTATGGCTGGTTTGTCAAAGCTGACTGTATGTAATGCTCTCCCTCCCTCTCGCAGGCTCTCCCACCTTCCCTTTTTTGTCATCACTCTGCCTCGCGCCCTTTTTTTCCACGCTCCCTTTCTCTATTTATCTGCTCGGCCCACTGACTGCCACATCCTCCCCGAACCTCTCTGCTTCACGCTACCTCAGTTGACTTGCCTTTATCTTTCTGCCCCTCTAACCTCCGCTCTAGGATCCTTTTTTTTTTCTCATCATGGGCGTCCAACAGGGATGCATCTATGGGCTCGCTTCATGGCCGGCCGTGGGGTTCAGTTGTATTTGGCAATGCCCTCAGGTACAGTCCTGTGGAAAAAACACTTCAAGCTCCGGCTGATGTTTCAGACACGTGCACACATACTGCTCTGAATGCTCTATGAATTATTCACTTTGTTTTCCCCGGACCAGAGTGCAAGAGATGGGGTGAGAGGGGATCGGGTGAAAGAGATCTGAGGCAGTGAGCTGAGGCATCGGAGCTGGCCTTCCTGTAATTCTAGTCCTCCAACTTGATGTTCCCCTGCAATGGGAGTAAGATAAACTATAAGAACTCGTAGAACATGTTATGAGAGGTAGCCCCGTTTCCAGGCGAGTCTCTAAATTTGTGTAACATATCATTTGTTAAGATAACTAGATATGTAGATTTCTGATTCTGATTCCAACACAGTAATCCTTGTATGATGCAAGTAGGATGAAATCCCTCCCCGGCCTCGGCCTTGCTACCTAGGGGAATGATTCCTTATTGGCAAGCCATTTTAGGTCCCTTTGCCACATTAATCCTTCTAATTCTGCGATCTGGTATTGTTTGTAATGCCGTTCATGTACTCAGACATCAGCCTTTTGAAAAAAAAAAAGAAAGAAAAGAAAACCTGTAAATAATATGGACAAATGCACAATTTAAAACTATAGATATCTTAATATGTTGTGTTTATATGTAATGAATCCATCCAGCCAGTCCTACCGTGCTGTGAGGGCAGCATTTCCATATAGAGAATGAATATTGAGCCACCCTACAAGGTCGAGGTGAGAGTTATCAATTTCCTCTGCCCCAAAGACGTGGCTGGCTGTAGACGATACAGGCTGAGTGATTTGCTAAATCCTCTAATGTATTAGGACTACCTGCCATGCTCTTTCTCCAACGCTAATGGGATTTTTCACTGTAGACTGTCCAGCATACTTGCATGCAAGCATCTGTAGTGCAGGCGATGAATACATATACATCCTTGTGCTTGAGGAAAATAATGAGTTGCACCAATGGAAAGTTTCTTGCAGGTTTCACCTGCAGATTTAACTATTATTGTCATCGAACACAAACACTACAGTAACTTGTCAGTACAAAGCTCTGCATACGGGAGCCCTGCAATACAATTATCAACTTCTCCTCCATATTTGTATTCAATGAAATTTAAGCAAAACAGCAAAGATTCTTGATTGTCTCTTCCTCACACGCAGTAGAACTGAATGTTTTTCTAAGGGCTAACTAAGGGGTTTATCTAAATATGTGACTTTAAATTGAAACATACACGGATAGTCAGACAGAGAAGGTGGATCAATCCAAATCGGCAGGCAAAGGTTGACGGAGGGACGGAAAAGGGTCAAAACACGGGAAGGCACACTCATGAGAATCGCGGGTAAGCTCATTGGGGACAAACTGGCAGAGAGCAGGCTGTTGGCACAAAGCAAATACACAGGAGAACGAGACACAGGTGGAAACAATAAGGGTGGGGCTTGCAATCACAGAGGGCGGTGACAAACAGGGAGGAGGTGTCTGAAACGAGAGGGAAAGGTGAGTGACAGAAACACAACAGAAAACAACATGTGACCTAATGCCCCAGTCTGGGTGTTACAAACACAGTGGAATTTGTAAACCAGAATAGCTATGGTCTCTATGTGACCGGCTTCCACCTCCTCTCTGAAGCAACCTTTACCATCCTGATGTCTTAGGCTTGGTAGAGCTGGTATCGATGGCCTTGAATCTTGCTCCCGCCAGAAACTTCAGTACATTTCTTTTTGAAGTTTACAAAGTAAACTCATTCTTCATGTTGACATCTGATGAATCCATGTAAATAGTCTTGCAGCCTGTATTTCTATGAAAGTCTCTTTTGTGTTTGTGTGCATGTGTCCCCATATAGATGTGCATTTTTGTGGTCACTGAAGTACATGCTTTGAATTCCATTCAACAGGGAAAAGCTGTCTCTAGCTTGTTGGGTCAACTTGCACAGTGATGACAATAAAACAGAATAGAGCACAGCACTTACTTAAGATAACAACTAATATGTCACAGACCAGAGAAAATTACTGTCCTTGACAATATCAATTATTGAAATGGTTTGCTTTGAAACTGGCAATGCTCAAGTCCTTATTCAGCCCTTATTTGACACAATGCCTTTGGATTCCTGTTTTACAATGCGCGGACCAACGTTAAGGTACGTTGTTTAGCCCTTACTTCACAGTCCCGATCTCAGTGCCTCACATGGTCTGCAAACAGTGTGAATGAGAAACGTAAGAACTCCAACAAACACCTAAAAACATGCATGGCAGCTTGCTCTGTCTATGACAACGTGTCACTTTGTTTAAATGGGAACTATTTAATCAGTGACAGCCCTCATGGGTAGATGAAGAGAACCCCGAAGGCCAAATCCTGCCCAACATTGATCCGCATGAACAATCCCCCATTATGTCTCGACGTCACCACAGTGTGCACTACAGCAAGAGCGACAGCGTGTGACCGCCGCAACCGTGTCACACCAGGGCCGCTGTACAGTAGTACATCTACTCAGCATATTAACAAATGCATCAAACCACAGTCAAAATGTTTGTGTGTGTGTGTTGATTGTGTAATAAAGGTGCTGTAAAACACTACTCAAATACACATGAAGTTCATGATAAATATATTATTTCGTGCAAATGTTGAGTAATCCTCCAACTCTAACCCTTTTGTATTGTATCTATTTTATGCTATTCAAAGACTAAATGTGTCTCTTATTTGATTCATTAGGATTATCGTTTATGCAAATCACAGATCAGTGTTAAGTCACCATTTTGCGAATGTCATTTCTTCAATTCAAAGTTTTCCCTGGTACTTATCTTCTCTCTGTGTTTTCCCCCCTTCATCTCCAACACCCCTCCTCTTGGCCCGTTCCCCCACCCTCCTTCCCTGCCTTTCTCTCCCTCCCTCTTTTCTCTTCCAGGCGAGGGATGCACGCAGCAACCCGTGTGTGCGTGTAGTGTAATCAGGAGCCATCGGGAGTGTGTGTGCGTGTGTGCGTGTGTTTGTTTGTGTGCGTGCGTGTGTGTGTGTGTGTGTGTGTGTGTATGAGTGAATTTGTGTGTCTGGAGAGAGAGACATAGACCGAGCCCCTAACACGGAGCATGCCTCTGCGTCCGGCAGCCGGCAAACATGAGCCACCCAGCTCTCCGCGGCAGGACCAGCAGCAGCATCATCATCAGCATCACACACATACACACTCACTCGCACTGCCTTACACACACACATCAAACGGCAGCCAGGGGGCCAGCACTGACAGCGGCAGCTCCCAGGAAGAGGACGGCGGCGTTCCCTTTGCTGTCGGCGTTCCGGCTTTCTGTCCCGGTGCAGAGCGGAGCCACAGAGCAAGGGCACCCATGGAAGAGCCGACCGGCAACACCGTGGTCATCCGCATTGGAATCCCAGACCTTCAACAGACGGTAAGAGCTCGCTCCGTAGTCACTGCCTGAGAGGATGAGAGAGAGAGAGAGAGAGAGAGAGAGATGGAAGCTGCCTCTCCCCCTTCCTCTCTGGACCGGGTGCTTTCTACCTCTCTTCTGTCTGCTTTTTCGATTTCAGCTTCTTTTCCAACCATTTCGGTTCATTTTTTTTTTTACCCTGTCTTACCCATCTTTTTTCTTCTTTTTTTTTTGCCTCACTTTCTTTGTTTTGTTATGCACGGCTTGGTGGCTGTGTTTGCTCTCTGGCTTCTGGGGGTTCCACTCTTCCCCGCCTATTCCACTGATGCTTGGCTAATAAATCCACCTCTTCATTAACTGGGCTTCAGCTGACTTTGACAGCTGGCCACTTAGGGTGAGGGTGGGGGAGGGAGGGCACAGGGAGAGCATCAGGGATAAAGAAGGCTGTAAGAGGCATTGTAAGAACCTAATGCATATACAGAGGAGCGAATCAAGTTATGAACTGTGCAACTTTCCTTCTCTCTGTTGCAGCTTTCTGCCAAGACAGAATAAGAGAATCCCTTAAGATATAGCATGTGTCTTGAATAGTATTGCAGCCTCGGGAAAAAAGCATTAGACTGTGGCATTGATCATTTCCTCAGGTTATTCTTCAATATACATTATGGTCTATTCAAAATCACTGTGGCCGTAATGTCCTGTATTTGTTTGCTGCAGAAGGCGGTATGCAGTAAGGCAAATGTCCAGGTATTAAATCATTTTTCATGCTCTGCTATTCTAATTAATATTGAGTCAGCAACAGCTCATGTTTGAGGTATTATTTGGGCACTACAACAACAATACCTCTTGATTAATTGTTATTGTTGTGTTTGAAATTAATACTTCATTCTCTGCTAAGCACAACATTACTATTACATTTTCCGTTAATTCACAGGTTTAAATTATCTTAAAACGAAAGCAATTCCCTAAAATTGAATAAAAATGCAGAGAGGAAGAAACATTTATTCCCTTTATTGGCTGTTGAATGAACTAAAGAACATTTCAATTTAACACATCCATATGCTCTTTTTCTCCCATGTGACTTAAGAGGCCATGTGGCTTTTACATGAAACAACGCTTCAAATTATTACTAATTTGCCCCCGTGTCAATAAGTATACTCACCCCTCTTTTGCTACAACATTTCCCAAGAAAACGTCATCAACCAACGGCATTGCAAGCGGCAGCCGGACACACACTCGTTCTCAGCTACTCAGTTGGCTTTCTGAGGGTGATTTAGTTTCATTCTTTCTCCAGACAGTGATCGCCAAGACAAGAGGCTGTTTTTTTTGGTGTTTTTCATTGTTGATTACCTCTTTGTTGCTGGCTTCTTGACTGAAAGACCCTTTGTATTGTAGCGAGGCCACTTACTGCACAGGAGGAAAAAAAAGACAGGAAATAAAAGGAGAGCAGTTGAAAAGGAAGCAGAGAATTCCCCAAAGGTGCCAGAGAATCACTGTGTGTAAACCAAAACAGCTCTCGGTTGAGTTGAAACACATGCGCGCACGCACACAGACACGCACACACACACATGCACACACACATGGACACGCAAAATATAATTGAGACACGCAAGCAAACTTTAAAATGCTCTTACACACCTGAAAAGACTGGTAACAAAAACATGCACACATGCTTTTACATCCTAGTAATCCCATTGACAAGGTGCCCTTATCGGCCTCTTACCTCTTTTAAGGAGTCATATTCAATCCGATATACTGACGAGCACATGCAGCGTGACTTAGTGACAGACAGAAAGAAAAACAGAGAGGGAGCCTGGTGGAAGCCCGACGGGCAAACACAGAGGCAGCTGACAGATGGCCAGACGCTGACAGCATGAATCTTTTATGGAGCAGTCAAGAGTGACTTGTGTGTACTCTGAGTGAGCTGGAGATTACACCAGAAGAGTCAGATTGAAGTTAGATTACACACCTCCTGCTGTGTTTGGGGCCTGGATCAGCAGAATGAAGCGCCATGCAAAGATCCCGGCAGGCCAAACTTTTCCTTTTCACTGGGAAAGAAGGAAAGAGCGCAGCTTCATGTGGTGGATTGAGTTCCAAAGTTCAAAATGACGTTTTGTCTTGAATGGCCATTAATAACATTTAGAAGCTCTCTAGTTATCAAACCTACCTTGTGTTAGATGTAGCTGTCTTTCCTGATGACTTGAGGGTGGAAGTGGAATCAGGAGAATTGTGTTGGGAAACAAAGTTAAGAAGACTTCCAGTGATTACCAGAAAATAATTATCCTTGCATGGAAATTACCTTGTTGAGTTGGTCTTTGATTTAGACTAAGCCAAGCCTGGTTAGTTCCATAAGTTCCTCCGTCCTTTTTGGAACATAGTTGTCATTTGTCAGTCCTCATATGCAACCACTAAAACTCAATTTCTATGATTGGTTGAAGATAAAAACTCTTAATGGTGTCATTCATCACCAGCCAGAGAGGGAGAAACTGACACAAATAGTCTGCCTCTCTTGTTGTCTCTCTTTTTGCATTCCACCTCTTTAATCATTCAGATATAGTAGTTTGCTGTCAGAAGTATAACAGCGTGATGATTAATATTGTACAAAATACAACGTAGAACAATGCAGGCTGGGTGTCCTCATCATGTTCATCCCACACGTTTGAGACGACTGCCTGGAAAACTATTTTGTTGACGGTTGTGCGACTCCAGGATGTCAGCTCCATCATTCTCAGCCTCCCTACCGTTGAGATTATTGAGGTTTGGACCGTCGTATGATCTGATTCAAAATGACAAACTCGCTCGTCTGTTTGCCGCCATTGTTTTAGTGGGTGAATCGGATTATATAGTTGTTACTGCGACATCTTCACTCAGCCAGGTGGTTATTTTATTACAACAACTTGAGAAAACAGTACAAGCATGGATTCAGACAGCTAGACAGTTTATCAAGTTGACCTCTAGCAGTTAATTCATTCACAGACAGATTATCTGGCCAATGGCTTTCAGCAGGCGGTGCTGTGATAAACAGCACCTGATAGTTTTTCTGATCAAGCCTCTTCCCTATTTCCAGCATGAATCATCAATTGCAACATTAAACCTTCCTTCTCGTGCATTACGTCATGACAGACTATTCATGCTAGTGCACAATCCAATGTTTGTCCTTCGTTGGTAAACTTAAGCTCAGTTTTTGAAACCGTGGTATTACTGAAACCTTTGTTCTGCAGTGTTCATGCCGTTCCATATACATTGTGCATGCTCACGTCATAAACCCTCAAACAATGTGCCTTACTTCCTCAATGTCACGTTTGCAAAGTCTGCAACTATGGTTTGGCCGGCTGCCTGTGTTATCGGTGGAGGATTTGCTTTCCATTGTATCTCCTCTGACACATCTAGCATTCTTCACATCTGCTACTGGTTTGAGATGCACTCCAAGCTGTTTATTTTCAGGAGTAACTTTTACTGATACATGTTTCATTCACAACACTGACCTTGAAGCTGACTGATCTTATCTCTAGCTGGCATTCAGTCTGAAGAGGCTGGAATTTGAATGCAATGATCTGTGAACTGACACATTTTCTCAATCAGGAGAGGATTGCAAAATGTTTAATGTTTAGATTACCTTTTATTACCAACTACCCAACTGGTCTTAGAGGGCAAGAGCATGACTCCAAGATAAACAAAAACACAACAGGTTGTAACAGGTACCACGAGTCAATTGCCTTAACGTTGATTAAATCTCTGATGAGGTGCTGTTTTCCTCTAATGGCCTTTCCACTGCACCGGCAGTTGAGTACTGGACTCCTAAGTGAAATCTATGCTTATCGTAGCTGCCCTGCACTGCACGCTATAGCCTCCTGGTAATTCCATCTTTTTAGTCCCAATTATCATCATCCACCATCAACTACCATCTGTGCAAAAAGTTGCTGCGTGCATTGAATTAATAAATGGTGGGGAGCACATTGTATCTAAATTGTTAATTAAATCGCCTAATGGCTGCAGGAACAAAAGTCTGCTGAACCTTTCCATGGAGGAAAGGAGCTTTTTACTCCTTATGGTCTTTATGGAAGTACTGGAAGCTCGTCAGGAGACAGATCCCTCCTAAGCTTCCTTCTGGTTCTCTGCTCTGGGCTGGTTTCCAGCTAGTCTGGACTCAGGCCAACAATTGACTCCTGTCTTCTTGATGAACTTATTGATCCTGTCCTTATACACACCTGTGATGCCGACACCCTAAGTGGCATCTGCATAGAAAAGAACAGCATATGAAACTCTCTTGTCTGAGGCCTTGGTAACACTGATGTTAATGCAATGTTTGTGATTGCATGCACATATGGATATTATTGGATACATTTTATGGTCAAAGGAGAGGCTGGAAAACATACATTCAGATAAATACATTTAATTGTGTTTCTTTACCATATGAACCACCCTGCTTAGTCTGGTTGCAGTATTAGTGGACATGTTGTATTAAACAATAGCCGCTAGAAAGTCTGTGATTAACACATTTCCATTTAAAAATAACAATAACTTAATTAATAATATTAGTCCCCGTTATTTTCTTATATTCTAGCTTTCATTGTCGTCCTTCTCCTCCTATCTTCCCTTTGCTCCATCACTAGAGAGGAGCATGATTGTGGGAAAGTTAAGTCAAGACTTTTCAAGAGATTTCATAAATTGTCCCGGATTGCGCCCTCATGCTGTCCGCTTCTCACTCAGACCTGCGCTATATGAAAGCAAAGGCCGCCGAGGCACCTGCTTTGACTGTTTAGATGCCAAAGCAAGACAGATCGGATGTCATAGCATGCATATGTGACAGTTAATGTGCACTGCTCACTTTTAAAATAGCAACTGCAACCTTATATTAGAAAAAAAAGCTATTACTCAGATTAAAAATGAAGCAATAACAGCAACAAAAAGAAATCCCCTTGGTTGTGGACAGCCCGACCTAATTGGTAGCAGTCCAGTGCTGTAGTTACTTGAAAATACTCTCATATTATCTAATTATTCATGTGCCTGTTATTGGATGCTTG